GTGAGTTTTAGTGCAGAATTGCTCAAGAAGACAGTTCTTTATTTTTGTCTTAGAAAAAATCGTCAATTTTTTTGTTATAGCACTTTATTAGTCAAAATCTAACATTTTGAAAACAATTTGCAAGAATTGACTACGTAATTCTGACATATTCCTCTTTCATGCATCTTCTTACCCTCGGTGTTTATACCATAAACATGTATACCCAAATGCTGAGAACACCATAGACATGTATAACGACCCTAAGTTGCTTAAAAAGTTGAATTTGAGCAGCGTTTCATTTTGGATTTTTGAGCGTATGCCTGAAGGACTCTTCAACTTATGGATAGAAGTACCGAAATACATTGAGTTGTGAACATGATGATTTCCAAAAACTTGCATGAAGACCTTGCTTTCTTTTAACCATTGCCGTTCGTTGTCTTTATAGGTGTTCTTCCCGCATCCGGAACAGATTCCATATTTATTAATGCGGAGGAATTTTTCAATAAGGTTTGTCTTTCCTCATCCTGTATCAGTTTGGGAAAAGTTAGGTGTACCACTTACAGTAACTTAACTGTATATTCCAGGTAAAACAATACTCGGGTGCAGAGATTTGCTGGCCGTCACAACTGAAAATCGGTGCAAAGACAAAGAAAGGTTAGAGGACGTCAATAAAGAGTAATAAGAGTTAATTAACTGCATTTCATTGCTTTATATCCATGAACATTTGAGAGCCGACGATAGGGTAGATATGGAAGTTTGCTGAAATATTTCAGAACTTATTAGTTCGTAAACTTCATTGTGTTGCAAGTTTACAATACGCCACACTTCAACTAAACTATTCAGATAGATTTTAATTTAAGTAGTAATAACTCTAGGGAGCCATTTACAAAAGAATAAACTGGCTCTGCATCTCCGTTGCCAATTGCTCTGCCTCAATCGTAGGCAACACCATAAAAGAGCACAACGTTTCATCACATTTCGAAAATGGCTGATCTGCCAATTATTTGAATTTTCCTTTTCCATTCAAAAGTTCTAGATCGAGTAGGAAGCACCATCAACACTGGATTTATGAGATTAATATATTCTTGGTTACTCCAACCATACTAATCAAATGTGATTACCACCACTTTTCGAATCACAACGTTTGCCAGAAGTGCTGGCTTAGCAGAAACCATCTAGTGGGACAATTTTGTTGCTGCACTTTTACACTTGGACAATGTCGTCTCACTAAAAGGTGAAAAAGTGCCAAAGATTTTTGAAGTTGAACTTTCAGGTCCCTTGCCTGGATGCACCAGTCCTCGAAATAGTAATTCAGTAAAATATCGTTGAACATTTGCACAATATATAGAGGCACTTGTGAGAGAGCAAATGTCTCAGAAAGTCTTAAGACTACAACATCATTGTGTGGCGAACGGAGTCACAAGTCCGTAAGTGCAGTCGACGGAAAACGATGAAAAAGGACGAACTCTGGCGATCGTGGCACATACTAACTTGTTCTAAGTAGAAATGCGGAGATATTCTTTTCTTTGTATACTAAAAATCCAGAAAATAGATGAAACAGCCTTGTTCTTTAATAATCCTGCTAATAATAGAGAAAGAGCAATAGGCAACAAAGATGGTAAGAATAATTTTTTCAGCAAGTGGACTATGAAGTGTAACGAATATGTTCCAAAAAATCTTCATAGAAAAGTTTGGAGATAGTCCGGTGAATAGAAAGCTGTTTATAAGGGTATTCACAACTATTCAAAGACTACCGCAAATTTGTATTCTACACCACTGCTCATAACCATTGAAAATGTAATGTACAACCTTCAGATCCATTCGTGAAAGTTATTGGGAGTATAGAACAAATCGAAGGAGCGAAGAAGTTTATCATTGCTACTCTACAGGTAAAGGTGAGTAAGCACTATTGGCTTCAGATGAGAATGGTGACTGAAACTTCGCTATTATTTGAGAAAATCAAGCATACTTAACAAATTTTTTATGTAACCTATTATTGTTCATGATGTTCAACTTCA